CCCGGCCTCATCTGGGGAGATCGACAAACGAATCTCTTCTTCATGTACTTTCATTCGAAATGAAGGTCCCCCTAACAATGTTATCTCAGGAGATTCATCGAAACCAAGTTTGTCTTCGTATCTACAAAGCATAATTCAATATTGTGTGTAATAAGAGGTCACTTGTATACCATCTTATATTATAGAAATTATAGGCACATACAGGTATGATGTAAGTTAGTACAGCAGAGTATTTTGAAGCATCGCATAAAGTATGATATATTACGGGCAAATGGTGATGAATGTGCTGATCCTTTGTGACGGATCATAGATCTACCAGGTTTACAACAAAATCTCTTGTTTTCATGAGTACCAAAATGACCAAGATTTGTGAGCCTAGCCTTAAAGTCTCTGTTGATTTTGAGTGTATTCAATTAAATGACTTCGACATGCTATTCAGAATGAAGAGTAGATATCTCCGCATGAAGCTTTGACTATGAACAAGTGTAGATCAAAATATTAATAATATCCTAGCAAAAAATAAACAATATTAGTGGAAATTGGATAGAAACTTTGCATATCTGTAAAGATGACCATTTGAAAAGTGAAGCTTAATTGAATCTACTCCCTCTCATCTTTGATATGAGCATAGGCAAGTTCCGAGATTTTGGTGCAATAATTAAAATAACAGTGGCAGAGCACATAATGAAAAAGCAACTCTTCGCAAACGGAGAGTTTGTCAGAGTTTACAATATGCTCGCAACTAAGGTTCCAACCCAGGTTACAATAAGGCCTCACATATAAATGAAGATGAAAGGGATGTTCTTATGAAAATAATCTATTACAAAGTGAGTAGTGTATACGTAAAAGAAAGAAAATGGGAAAAGCATACAATGTCGAATGTTAAGAGGACACTTTTGCTGTCAGCTTTCATTTAAAATAACTTTATTCGACGAAGGGCTCAAGCATTCTTTTTTGATAATTTTTGCCCAAAATCGGGCCTTCTTGCTTTCGGCTCTTCAACGGCTGCGCACTCAAGGCACTCGGATTGCATGACAGGTTCATTTTGTGACGCGGCACCCGATAGCGAATTGCAAGAGCATGAAATGGTAGACGAGCTACCCTCTGAAGCGGAACAATTTCCTTGGACGTTGGGGTGGTAAGAAGGAGAGCAAACCGCGGATGGGAGTGACAGATATTTTGGTCCCATGTCTCCATGATAGGCGGCGAGACAGCCAAGTAAACCGACCAGGGAGGCAACGAATAAATACATCCTCAAGCACCAAAGAGAGGCTGAAACAGAAATTTTCAATGATATTTAAGAGGCTAGAGCACGAAAAGTTCTGGCCTCAATAGCACCATTTGATATCGACTCTTATGCATACAAATGCTCTTGGATAAAAGCCACCTTGGATTTGTGCCGATTTAGACATCAAAACCGACATTTGCTACAACCCAATTCCGTCAAATAATTAAGTATCTGTCTAACTATTCAATAACATTTCATGCAAGATTTGGGCTCAGATCGTGTATGTCCACCAGACTTTGTAACCTCCGTCACAAATAATATGAGACTTGTAAGCTTAAAAGGGTATGCCATATAGTAATGGGCTAAAAATGATAATATATTTCAGTATTGCTGAAAGTAATCGAGCAAAGTTATTGCTGACCTCGAAACTATAAACAAAGCTGTTTCAAACTGGAATAAAGTTTTAGCCATTTAGTCCTTCCAGATTTGATATTAGAAAATTAATCTGCCAGATTGCCATTGATAAAATATTACTATATCTATAATTATAATGTTTAAATAATAAAACTCAGAGTTTCCTTGTCGATTACAAGTTAAATAATGCTAGACATTTCAAGCTGCAGTATTAATTTTCAGTGGGAGAGTTGACCATAAACTGAAGCTTTTTTCTAAAATAAGGACTAGCAATTTATCACGAGCATAACTTTAAAGGGTAATACAATGAGTATAATAACAAATATAAGACTCCCTCCTTGTTAAAGCAAAAGATTCCATATACATTCTATTATTTTTATGTGCGTCTGTACTAAAATGTTCGTACAGCATGGCATAAAATACTTACTCAATGCTTGAAATGCCACGAAAGCAGTTGCAGTTGTCTGTGAAATTCTCATACTACTCCGATCGGGTGTTATCATGCAGCAGCCCAGGACCACGAAAAGCGCTAAATAAAACAATTAGTTTATTGATTATGGTACAGGAGAATATGCTCTTTATTAAATAAGAAATTACGCGAGTTCTTATATCTTAGATATCCCACCACTATATTTGATTTACACGATGCTCTATGTTGGCCTTACCAATATTTGTAAAAATATACAACCACTGTCGAAAGAGAATGGTATTTTGCTAGTACTCATTAAATGCTTACATGTATGGCTACGAATGGGAAAGTTTAAGCCTATTTTATAATCGTCATTATCTCTTGAAGAATTTGCTGCATTATTTAATTTCCTTCGGATAACATCAATTCAGTAAGACTAAAGATCTCAATAAGATAAACATAATTCTGAAGAACATGACTTTAAGGCTCCGAATTTGGCCTGCCTCGAAAATGATGCAGATTGTGATGTCATGAACTGATTTGAAATTGCTTCATAGCTTCGTAGCGAAGCTAAAATAGTGCATGAGGAAGGAAAAATTAAGTTAACGAATATGATGTATTTTATTGAGTCTTCATCTCAATGGCATTGGGTCGAATAAAAAACGAATACACTTGCTCACAAGATGAATAATTCCTGGGCCGGTGAACGGATGTGTTCTGACCATTCATTTCGGATGCAATTTAATAGGTCTGGTTGTCTATTTTTCAATTATGGTATTTTAGGTGTTATGTTATAGCGGTAGCTTGTCTCGTTTATCATCATTGATATGCTATCCGG